CCCGTGCCCGCCGCCGGAGGGGCGGCAGGCGGCCCGGGCAGCGCCGCTGTGGGCGGGCGCTCGGGCCGGTGGAGGGCGCTGGGTTGTCACGAGGAATGGTAGTAATATGCGAGAGACGTGTGCAAGTGCAGGGCTCAGCCGCTTCTTCCCTTGTCCCGGGCACAGAGTAGTAGAGCCAGGCTGCTGCAGCTCCTGCTGGCTCACCTACTGTGCCCTGTCTCCTGCTTTTTTTGCCCCTGTGCTTGGCAGGTGCCAGCTGTCACTAGAAGGCAGGACACCCCATAGGAAAAGCCTGCATGGACCATGAACTAGGTAAAACAAAGCAGGGGCGGGACACAAACCTGCTTTGCTTTCTCTTTCTAACTAGCAAGAACTTGTATCGGTTTGTGCCCTTGAGGTGCTGTACCCACGGTGACCTCTAAAAATTACAGCCCCTTTTGACATGACCTCCCCATTGTCTTTTGTGCTAAAGCTGTCATTTGTATGTCTAGAGTTGTGGTTAGCAATGAGGTCCTCTGTAGGTGGAGGATACACGTTTGTGTTTTAGGACTCAAAAGTTGACTCCAGCAGAGGTCAAATGAGAGGCTCTACTTGAGACCCAGTCTCAGGCGATCTAGGTTTCACTTCCTGCTTTGACCTTGGCTAACCCTTTGTTGCAGTAGTTATTGTAAAGTAACTGCTTGCCTTCAGAGCTGTGCAAGAACATTTTAAATCTTGATCCATATTTTTAAAGTATCTGACTTGCTTACATGAAGGTCCTACAGAAAGATGTTCTTTTCTTCCTTAAACTGGGTAAAAGAACTAAATGGTGCAATTTAATGTTGATTCAGAACAAATAGAAATGTTTTACATACAATGGGGTGGATTTGTGGAATCCATTGCTCCAAGAGATGGTCTAGTTTAAAGATAAAATTAGGTTTTTATGAAAAGAATTGATTGTTAAATGGTAAGTATGCAAACAAATGGAAGGGTAATCGGCAGGAATCCTGGCTTTCTCTGTTTTTAAAATGGCAAAATAAAAAAAATCACAAATTCTCTGGTTAAAATGCCCAAAATTGCATTTTTCCACAATTAAAATGAAATGTTGTGTTCAACCGATATAGATTGATAGTTATTAGCTGAACACAATGTTTTATTAATGTTTACTATTTTAAAGCAATTTAGAAGCCTACCAGTGCCTCAATTACTATAATAAAATAAATTCTAAATACCTATAAATTCTGTCATTTCATTTATTTTTTGGGAGGGTTTTTATATTGGAAAATCAGAGCTCCCCCTAACCCCCTTTGCTCAC